GATCCCATACAGTTGCAGATTTCTAATTGGTTTGAATGTTGTCTTGGTACCTGCATACAAACAAGTGTGTGTGTCTGGCCGACGGCCTGGGCTGGGTCCACGATGACTTTGACTGACACCGTGTATAGTTGACTTTCGGTCAGTTGTCTGGCGCAGGGCCCCTGATTCCAAATTTTGGGGTCCTGCCTCTTTTGCGGCCTGAAGCCGACATTGGGCCTGGGGCCCCTTAGACAGGTTGCGAGGCATAACAAGCGGGTTATTACATTCCTGCCGACCCGATTTTTTAGTTCCATCRCAGAAATACATCATGTTTCTTTTAACCCACACTCATATGCAGCAATGATGTCACTAGCAGTAGGTAGGAGATCTTTCTTACTAAACCATCGAGCTTCAGATGGAGGTTGAAACTTGAACTTTACCTTATACTGCTTTTGCGGTCTTCCTTTGCCACCTGTAGAGAAGTAGCCATGTTCCAGAATCTTTTCAACTTCATAGCCTCCATTCATGGAGGGTGGGAACATAGATGCCCTGTTAGGAAACTCATCTCCTTCTATATATGGCAAAAGTTTAGACACGTGAAAAACAAGATAGGTCCGAAGGTGTGGGGGTACAACAATTCGGTAGGAAGGTCCATCTGCATCCCCAATCACCTTGAGAACTTCCTAGGGTCCGTAATAGTCAGGCAGTAGTTTCTGAGACACATTCTCTTCCAAGGAAAACTCTTTAGACTTCACCCATACAAGATCACCTTCTTGACAGTGCGATGGCCGACGATGCTTGTTGGTCTGCTCAATCATATGCAGTTGGGCTTTCTATATACTTTCCTTAACTTTCTTTATGTATTCTTCGTATCAAACTGCAGATTTTAGTGTGTCTGGGGGTAACCTCTAAATTTGCTCTCGGGTTAGAGCATCAATGGGACGTCGAGGCTTCCAACCTTCTTACAATTTTTGGTAAGTTTTCATCCCAATCTATCTGATCGGGTCGTACATACGTGTGCAAAAGTTGTTGGCACAGACGATTCATTTGCTCAGTTTGGCCATTCGTTTCAGGGTGTCTACCTGACGTCATGGTCAACCTAGTGCCATAGACTTGAGTAGACAGTGAAGTGTCTCCCTAGCAAGTAGTGTTTCCATATGTCCAGTGCAGCAACCAAGGCATACAATTCCCTTTTGTAAGTGGAGTGGGCCATTTCCTCATACGGAAGCCTTCTAGACATAAACTAAATATGTCTATATCCCTTACCGTCGTCTTGTTGTAGCACAACCCCAATTCCATACTGACTTGCGTGAGTCGTGACAATGAAAGGGAAAGAAGAATCAACAATCTTTAAGACAGGGTAGTGAGTCAATACATATTTTAACTTCTTAAAGGACTCACAATCTTTGTCCCACAACCCTGGTTTTTCTTTCTTCGATAATCTTCTCATAGGAGCGGCTATCAAAGAGAGGTTCCTCACAAACTTCCTATAATAACTAGCAAGTCCTAGGAAAAACCTCAGTTATGTGACAATCTTAGGTTGGGGCCAATCTCGAATTGTTGTTATCTTCTTCTCTTCGTCCCTTAGTCCCTCTTCGTTTACTACATGCCCTAGGTATAATACTTCAAGCTTAGCAAACTCAGACTTTCTAGGATCCAGTTTGAAGTTGCCTTCGCACATCTTCTGTAGAACCATTTGTAGGTGCTTCTCGTGATCCTCCAGTGTCTTACCGTACACGAGGATATAATCGAGGTACACAACTACGAATTGATCCAGCCATTGGCGAAATAGTTTATTCATAGACATTTGGAAGGTAGCGAGAGCATTAGTCAGTCTGAAAGGCATAACCACGAACTCGTAGTGACCATACCTGGTTTGGAAGGTTGTCTTGTGTTGATTCTCGAGAGCCACCTCGATCTGCTGGTACCCTGACTTGAGATCAATCTTACTGAAGTACCTGCATCCCTGCATCCCTGCAATTGGTCCAACAAGTTGCCAATGTGCGGAAGTGGTTTCGCGTTTTTTGACGGTGACGACATTCAACCCACGATAATCAATAAATTATTTAAGTTCACCTTCCTTTTTGGGCATGAATAAGACAGGAGCACAGCAAGGAGATGAGTTAGGAGGAATCCGTTAGGACGAATCCGTCCTTTTTCAGTTAGTTCTTGCAATTGTTTCTTTAATTCCTGAAGTTCCCTAGGAGACATATGATAGATCGGACCCTTGGAAATCTTACTTCCGAGAATAATCTCGATTGTGTGCTTAATAGCATGCTCAGTGATTCATGTTGCCTCAATGTGTAAGTCTTTATATTCGAGAAGTAGTTTTCAATACAAGGAGGATAGGATGAGGAGTAGTCACCTACTCATTTGACGAGCACCATCATCACATCCTGATCCAACTTCTTTTTCGAGACGATCGATCTAAAGGTTGTCAGAGCCAGACCTATGATACAATTCAATTGTTTTTAGTTCGGACCTTTCGTCCCTGAGTTTGACAATCTTCTCTTTGAATTTGACTTTTGTTTCAGCTTCCTCGTGCCAATCCATACCCAGAATCATATCAAAGGGTAAGCTCAATTAGGAAGGATATTTCATGCAATATCTTATTTCCTTCCTTTATTCGAAAATAACACTTTACACGATCGACATACTTAGAGACAGTGATCGTGGTCTTGTCAGCCAACATAGACGTGATAGGTCTTGGTAAGTCCTTTACCTTCATTCCAAGATACAATTTACGAATTGCCTTCTCTGAGATGTAGGACCGCCTCGATCCCGAATCTAATAGAGCACCTCAATGTCTGCGATCATCAACTCACCCTTGGACTTCACTTTCTTAGCCCACGAACTCCTTAAACTATGAGTTTATTTCCGAGTTCGTCAAAGGAATCGTCCGATGAGACAAAACATAAAACAATATCTGGGTGTTCAGGATGACGGGCTGAAAAAGAGTCATCCTCTGCCATATGAGTCGAGGGATTGAAAGGGATGATCAACACCTTACCTTCAGTTGATCCCCTCAACTCAGTAGGAGCAAATGCTACTCCTGTTGGCTGCTCCCTTTTGGGTTGCGAATGAGAAAGCACCATGCTATGATGTGCCTTGCGGTGCCACACTTAACGCACTGTCGGTTGTCCATTCGTTGTTGCCACTCTTCCCGTGACAGTCTCATTATTTCCCAAGATTTGTCTGAAGCAATCCCGGGATGCTCGGGAAAGGAGAGTGGTCTCTTCTTCTTACTCCACGAACTGGTGCCACCCTTATTGGCCACCAGGACAGTGACATCACTCCTCCCTTGACCTCGTCAAGGGGCAGCTTCTCTATCATGTCATTGTCAAACACGACAAGCATGTGGTCCTGTCGCTTTTCCCGCCACAGAACCCGCTTACTGTACCCACCAACCAGACCATTCTCTACTACAGACACGTATGTTCCCTTTACATGTGCAGTCATTTGCTCCCTTTGGAGAGCGAGGTCGCGAAACTGTCCATAATTGTACTTACCGGATTTTGCCTCGGCAACGAGATGTCCTCAAATGGGTTCTGGAAGAGCTTATGAGAAGATGTACAACACTTGGTTGTAATGCAGGTTCAGATCGGGGACCTCCACCAAGCAATCAACCTCACAAGACAACGCATCAACAATTGTCCAACGCTTTTGGCTGATGGTGGTGAGTTCGTCGAAGGCCTTATCGGTCGTCGTTTTGTCCAAGAATCTCCTTAATCTTTTGGAGAAACTCCTGGGGGTCAAGGTTCTGGACAAGATTCATTCCTTTGCGTCCTCACCCGAACATGAGGTAGTGAAAGCCACTTGGCTTTCTGGCTCAACCGGTGCAGTGCTACAATACGTTTGGATTTCCGCAATCCAGAATAACAAGTACTGTCCTCGCTTTCCATTATAAGTAAAGAATAATTTCATTTTCACCTTTTCCTTTCTTTTCGGCTTTTCTACCTTTTTGTTCGGTTCCTTCTTAGCGGGCTCTTCTTTTTGTTCCGCCGGTTTCTTGGAAGTTTCGGGTTTTTATGGCGTCAATTTCCGTAACCTTCATTGCATCTTTCATGAGCTTCTCCTGGGTTCTCTTTTTTTTTCCCCCTTGGCCTCCTCCTCAATCACCACCTTGTCTTTCCCCTTAACAAATTTAGTCATTGTCGCAATCGCGGTGGTGTTACTATCAATCTTCAGTTCAAGATGTGTGAGATAAGCCATCAAGTTATCCAATACAAATGCAAGGTCAGACTGTGTTCCCTCAAAGTGAAACCGCTAACTGATTTCACCCAGTTTTCACTTGTTGTTCTTTCTCTATCTTCATTCTCCGGTATTCTTCTATCTTGTTTTTCTCTGCATTCAAGGTTTCTTCCAACTGCTTGATATTTGCCATCATTATCTCTTCAGACAATTCTGGTTCTTTATTTTCTTCACTTCTTTCTCCCTCTTCTTCTTTTCCTTTGGCCATGCTATTGGGTATCTCCGTCAGCTGACCAATCACAAATTTAATAGTATGTTGTACATGAGTACTGGCTTTCATCATCTGAACAGCCGTATCAGCCTGCTCTAGTTCGGTTTCTGTTGCTCGCAGATCGGACTGGATGCGCACGTGTTGCTCAGCATCGGCTCCAGAATCATGTAAATCGGTGATCAACTGATGGAGACGGCCCAACATCTCCTGCGTCTATTTGCAATTTGGCCACGGGTTCTCAATTCACTACCTTCCTCATCAGCAAAAAAGGTCATGGAGATAGGGAAGAAGAACAAAGGAATGAATCGAGTCAAAACAGAGAGGCGCAAAAAACGTCACGTCGTAATGTCGCCGTCTTCTCTTCAGCACGTCCACATCATCATTTTCAGGTCAGTATGCGCACGACTATCAATGTCTAGACCGTGATTATAATCGCGCGCGTATATAAACGTGATTCTTTCCTGCGCGCAGCACCTCCAACTTACCTGGGCGCCACCTTGCGCCTGACAGCAGACCGCGACGAAGAAGGTATGCTCCAATACCAAATTGTAATGAACCCAGTACGTAGGATACTTGTAAGATGTCGAAATACAAGGTAACTCAACTTTAAACAATGTCCCCAATAATCATGAATGTGATCTTTGATACAATGTCTCGTTTCCAATAGACGAAGAGAGTGGAGGGAGATTAGACTGATTAGAAGGTGGAAGAGATAGTAACCATCAATGACCACAAAGATAGTAGCCCAACATTTCACACTCCTTCGGGCTTCCTCTCGCCTCCACGTCAACAAAACAGTATCCAATAATGAGCCGGACAGATCCCGATCACATCAAAGTGCCACATGGCACAGTTCTCTCATGAAGACGTTAAAGACGTTCAAAAGCGCACAGTATCACAGCAGGTGAGTATCCCGTCCCCTCTCAATCATCCACGGATCCCGATCTCCCTCCTTGTCACGTCCAAAGTCAGCAATGTAGACAGTATGGCAAATGCCACGTCGGCATAGGCTGGCGCCAAAGCAGGAAGGCGCCAGCATGCAGCAACAGTCTCGCGACGTCGTCCACAGTGCCAACGTCCAGCTAGCGTCAAGCCAGCGTCCAGCCAGCGTCTAGCCAGCGTCTAGCCAGCGTCAAGCCAGCGTCAAGGAAGCATAGAAAGACTGAATGTTGACTCCCTGGAGATAGGGTCTTCTATAGTGTTGGACCGGATTGATCTGCCTCAGGTCTCCTACCCACGGTGGCTCAGATTGAATCGCAGCCGACGGCCTGGATCCCATACAGTTGCAGATTTCCACTCGACCTGAATGGTGTTTTGGTACCTGCATACAAACAAGTGTGTGTGTCTGACCGACGGCCAGGGCTGGGTCCACAGTGACTTAAACTGAGGCCGTGTACAGTTGACTTTTGGCCAATTGTTTGGCGCAGGGCCCCTGATTCCGAATTTTGGGGTCCTGCCTCTTTTTGCGGCCTGAAGCCAACGTCGGGCCTGGGGCCCCTTAGACAGGTTACGAGGCATGATAAGCGGGTTATTGCATCTGTATCATTCCCACTTTAAAGATGTCCCAAACTGCTGCTTGACCACTACCTTTGTCCATTACTTGCCGCTATTGCTTTACCCCCCAATAGAATGCACAATCATTATCGCTGTATTTGGGAAAACTTCCGGTCTAGATACAACAATAATGTTTGTCAGCTACTCTTCCACACCCACTTCCCCAATGCTCATTGCCGCAACCACTACAGCCACCGCATTACCCAATCATAATGCCCGGTGACTATAGCCGCATTTGGGGCAACTTTCAATCTAGATGCTGTGATAATGACCAGCCTTTCAATTCGGGTGAAGACAGTAGGCTTATTACACTACTATTACTACCATCTTCCCCCGAATAGAACACACGGTCATTATACTTGTATCGAGAAAACCAGTTGGCCAAAAAACAAACAAACCGTGCGTTCCATTGGGGGGAAGACGGTGTTACTACCAACACTATTGTTACTGCTGCTAATGCCACGACTTCTAACACCAGCCTCGCAACAGATCCAAATTTTTGTCGAGATGGAATTTGCCAAGTCGTCGGTTGTGTGTTCGATTCTCGGATTGGACATGCATTGCTTTCATGCAGTAAGTAACAGCCATAGAAATTTTACTACAGATGTGTGGCTGTGAGACGTGGGCATGAGTGTGGTTGGGTACGCTGTGTCACCGAGCAATCCGTGTTGGGGAGGGATCAAGTATTCATCTCGGGGCCTTACTTTCACCCCAGCCCACTTAGCCTATTGGTTAGATGTTTGCCTGACAAGCCATTGGTTCTGTGTTCGATTCTCGGATTGGACATGTAAACCCACCAGGATGAATGAAGTGCATGACATCGCAACAGAGCCGAACTTTCCCCGCGCGGAATCTACCAGCCTGTTCAGCCAAACCCATGGGGATGAATGAAGTGCATGACATGCACTCACAACATGCCATGCACATGTGTGGACCCCTTGCACACCTCTGGATGCCATGCGCACGTGCACCAAACGTTTTTTACCTCTCCGCACAACGGTGGGGACAAAACGACCCGGTGCACTGCACATGGCATGCATGCACCTAAAACTTGCTCCAAAACGTTCAAGACATTTCTGGAAAAAGTATGCAACGGGGAACGTTATTTTGATCTTTTTTTTTGACTGGGAACCTGTTCAATATATTGCCAGGATCAATCCGCAGCCACATGAAATTGAACCGGTGATCTCGGAAATAACAGCCAAATGCCTTTACCACTGCAACTGTTACAGTGTTCGCAACTGAAGCCATACCGATCTTCAGCCCACACCAGCACAATGAAAGGATTTCACCCCTCGCCAGTGTCACAAGGCCTCGTTTGGCCAAGCCTTACGCCCGCCCTAAGTGAAGTCGGGCTCCATTTTACTACGAGGCCTACTTTCGGCCTTTCTCTGAACATGGGGACCCAAGCAGCGATGTGGAGGAAGGCCCCTCAGCCTATCAGGAAGCGGCGTGCAACAAAGGCCACATCGCACGGTTGAGTGCCTAACTGCTATGAGCCCAGACCAGTATCTGAATAGGGTCTGAGCTCAGACACTTGGGTCCGATCCAAAGCTTCTGGAAACCACGGCCTCCCTTCCAGGAAAGGCTGCCTGCACTTTCCATAAAGGAAAGTGCCCGCGAGCGAGGGAGATATCCTGGCACGTGGTGTCGACGAGGCAGCGCTGCTGGTTTGCTCGCTAGTGGCTGCGGGTGTGTTGGGGTTCACACCGGCACAGGTCGTGAGGGCGCTGAGGGGAGAAGCGTCGGGGCTCAGCCAGCCATAGCCTGGCTGAGGCTCCTTGTTAGCCAGTGAGGTTGGGCGGTGGTCCTTGGGTTAGAGGGACGGGACGAGCATGGGGGAGATGCCAAGGGTGTGAGAGCGAGAGGTGAGACATACCTGGGTGTGCCGTGTTGGTTTGCATGGTCGGCATCTTCACGTACAAGCGGTCTGTTGTGATTGTTATGGTTGCATCGTCACAGTAGTGTAGGCTAGCGTAGGCACTGTGTGATTGTAAACAGGGCGCTGAGCGTCGTCTAGGACAAGAGATATTGGACACATTGTTGATGGTGGCGAGAAGGGCTGACATAGATAACTGGGTTCATTGCTTTGGTCTCCATGGATGTGTCACTTGGTGCGTTATGCTTTCTGAACAGTGATTGTCAATCTGGCTTTCAATGTGATATTGCAAATTGGATTCTTGTCATTTCGCTCTCGCTCATTTTCCTTGCACTTTGGTATCAGAGTTGGTTCGTGCCGCTCCACTCGCACCAGTGCATGAGTGATTTGGAGCTTTGCATGGCTCGCAGGGCAGTGGAGATATTATTGCGCTGGTTTATGAAGGCGGCCCAGGGTAGAGTGGGCGCACCAGGAAGGCTATATGGCAACATATTGGGTATATGTGATAACCCGTCCAAACACGGACTGAAACACACAGCTGATTTCTGAGTTTTGCTCATAGACTGAATGCCCTACTGAGTTCCCCGCCTGC